AAAAAAAAAAGATAGTTCAGCAATGCATAACAAGAATGGAAACCAATAGCCATAGAAAGGAGGGACTTATTTAGAAAAAGGACAAATGTCAGGCCAATATTGTATTTGATATGATTTTGCTAAACATTTTCAGTCACTAAATAATTGAGAGTGCACAAGCATTAGTCTGAACACGATATTACCTCATAGTTGAACTTGCGTTTATGCAAGGCCTTAAATTTGCGGACATCCAATATTGTTAATTCATCATCCTACAGCATGCAAAGCAAACAAAAAAGATAGTAACATATTTACTGGATATAGACAACGAGATATACATTATTGAGAGCCGCCAATGCCTAAATAATGAAAATTCTAGATCCCAAATGAAATATCGATGTGAAAGAGAGATAACGGGAAACAACTAAAGGAGGACCAAGTGATTGGAACTGTAAGATCTACCCTGTTGCCGACTGCTACGTGAGTTCCGTCTGGCTTAAAAGTGATGTTGATGTTCTCCCCACTGAGTTCAGCCTGCTGTGAGCATTTTCCACCTGCAGATTACAAAGTGCATGACATACAGGAATCTTCGACATCGCTACAGTGTATATTGAAGCTTGCATACTTTCAACCAAAACAACAGGAAAAAGATATCACTGGCCATCTTTGGAAGCTTCTTTTTCTCTTTTATCTAATGAGACATTTTACTTCATGTTAATGTACCCATTTTAATTCAGATCATTTATCTTCACGCTCGAACCCATCCCATTAAATACAGGAGGAGCCAAATGCACCATACTTTCAATCCAAAGGCCAGGTTTTTCTGAAGAAATGCCAATGTAAAAACTCTTCATTCAAAAATAAATAAGAAAGGCAAGTTTTTTGATAATCTTTCATCCCAACTGGAGTTTTAGCCATCTTAACTAAAATATATTACTTACTGCGAGCATCCCACAAACGAACTGTCTTGTCACCCGAAGCAGTTGCAATCAAATCAGCGTGCTTTGGATCCCAACACAATTGATCAACACTATCAGTATGCCCCTTTAGCTCGATGTCTTTAACCTTACCCTGCATAAGCAAATTAAACAACATGCTGGCTTTTTTACTAAGCTGGAAAATAGAACCACATCAACTCGAGAATCATAGAAGCCCTCTGCAACGAATGCACGATGACAGAGTATGAAACTAGATAGTACTTGTATTTCAAGGATATTGAATATGATAGACTTTCATTTCAAATGACACACAAAAACAGTGAAAAGAAAATGAAAAAAACAGCCACATTAACAATAGGTTGATATTAGATTGTCAAATGATAATAAAGCGGTGGGCAGGTATAAAGTTTAATTCCAGCAATATGCAATATATGTAAGATGCTTTCTTCGAATCACACGTCCAACAATAACAATTGTGCAATCCTATTTCTTGTCTTCGAAACTTTATTCTGTTAGGCATAATAATACAAAGACACGGATGTTTCTGAAATAATTTTAATCTTTAAACTGGCACAAATATCGAGGCACATTTGGAAGTGAATAAATCGACGAAGCTTACGTGACCATGAGGTTCAATATGCCAAATGCGAGCAGTTTGATCGACTGAACCGGATGCCAGTTTCGTGCCCGCGCAATTCCATGCCACCGAATGCACCTTTATTCATTACTTAATGTCAAACGGGGTTTCCGAAATCAAAATAAAATGGGTAAACCAAAATAGGGGCGAAAAGTGGCAAATAAAAGTTAGGGTTTAGGAGTTGTACCTTCTTCTTGTGACCTTGGTATTCTCTGCTGTAGAGATTTTTGAAGGGTATCGTCTCCTCCATTTCCACTGGTAATTGCTCGCTAATCTCGGGTCGATTATATTCTTCCTGTTTTTAGTCCGCTAATTCTTACCAGTGTCGCGCTAAAAAACCC